CGTTATGAGTATTGTTATTACTCCTGTTCTCCATCACCATTGCTGCTCGTTATTGCCGTTGTTACATCTGCCCCACAGCCATTGCTTTGCATATAGGTGTTGTTGCTGCAGCCCCACCGTTATTGCTGCTGTTATAGCCGTTTGTTACTCTTCGTCTTCTTCTGTTAATCGCTGTTGTTTCGTCCCTGCCAGCCATTGCATATTGCTGTTATAGCTGTTGATATGCTTTCTCTTACAGCCATTGTCATTAATATTCCTGCTCGCATCGCTATTGTTGCTGTTATCGCTATTGTTATTTTGCCCTCTACCGTTATTGTTGCTGTTATAGCTGTTGTTAATTTCTGCCTCCACCACTATTGCTGTTGTTATATGTGTTGTTACTTCCTGTCTCTACTGCTATTGTTGCCAAGAGTAGCTGTTGTTGCTTCCGGCCTTCTATTGCTATTGTTGCTGTTACTGCAGTAGTTACTTCTGCGCCCTACTACCATTGTTGCTGTTATAGCTGTTGTTGTTTCCCTGCTCTACTAAGAATTGTTGTTGTTATTACTGTTGTTACTCCGCCCTATTGTTATTGCTGCTGCAAAGCTGTTGTTATTTCTTGCCTCACGTTCGTTATTGCCGTTAGAGAAGGTTGTTACTTCACGCCTTCCCTACATGCGTTGTTATTATTGCTTTGTTACTCCGCCTCTATTGCTTATTGTTGCCGTTATTGCTGTTGTTACTTTCGTCTCTACCGTTAATGCTGTTGTTATTGCTGTTATTAATTCCACTTCTACCTGCTATTGCTGCTGTTATAGCTGTTGTTTACTTCTGTTCCCTACAGCCATTGCTGCCGTTGTGCGTTGTTGTTCCGCCTCTACCGTTATTGCCGCTGTTATATAGCTGCAGGTTACTTACGCCTTCTGCCATGCCGTTGTTATTGTTTGTTGTTACTCACACCTCTATCATTACTGCAGCCGTTATTGTTGTTGTACTCTGTCCCTACTGTTAACGCTTTTCGTTGTTATAGCCGTTGAGCATCTGTCTCCCACTGGTATTGCTTGTTGTTACTCCGTCCACTTACCGCTGCCGTTATAGCTGTTGTAATTCTGCCCTTCAGCTATTGCTGTTGTTACTCTGTCCACACCGCTATTAATGCTGATATAGGTGTTTGTTGTTTAGCCCCTACTGCTATTGCTATTCGCTGTTATAGCTTGTTGTTACTTCCGTCTGTCTGCTACGTTGTTGTTATTTATTTCGGCCCCACAGCCATTGCTGCTGCTGTTATAGCTGTTGATATTTCTGTCTCTGCACAGCCATTGCAGTTGTTACCCGGCTCACTTAATTCGTTAATGTTGTTATAGCTGTTGTTACTTCTTGGCTCTCTGCTATCACCGTTGTTGTTATTTTTCGCCCTGCCAGCCATTGCTGCTGTTATAGTTATTGCTGATATTTCTGCCCTTACAGCTATTATTGTTGTTATCCGGCTCCACTGCTATTGTTGCCGTTATCGCTGTTGTTATTTCTGCCCCACTCGCTATTGCTGCCGTTATAGCTGTTTGTTACTTCCTTCGGCCTCTACTACTATTGCTGCTGTTATAGGTGTTGTTACTTCATGCCCCACTGCTATTGCTGCTGTTATAGATTGTTGTTGTTTCTCCGGCCTCTTTATTGTTATTGTTGGTTGTTACTGCAGAAGTTGTTTGCCTGCCCTACCAATATTGTTGCTGTTATAGCTGTTGTTGCTTCTGCCTCTTACTGCACTAATTGTCGCTGTTATAGCTGTTGTTGTTACTCCGCTCTCTATTGTTATTGCTCGCTGCAAAAGTTGTTGTTACTCTGTCTCATACTGCTATTGTCGTTGTTAGAGCTGGTTGTTACTTTACGCCTTCCCCTGCACGTTGTTGTTATTGTTGTTGTTAATTTCTGTTCTATTGCTATTGCTGCTGCTATTGTTGTTGTTAATTTCTGTCCTTACATCATACAGTTGTTGTTATTTGTTTATTCATCTGCTATTGCTGTTAGCTGTTGTTACTTCGCTCTCTACAGCTTATTGTTGTTGTTATTTACTGTTGTTGCTCCGCCTCTACCACATATTGCTGCTGTTATAGCTGCTGTTACTTACGGCCTTTCTGCTAATGCTGTTTTTATTGGTTGCTTTGTTACTTCAGCCCTATTGCTATTGCAGCCGCTATTGCTGTTGTTACTTGTCCCTACCTGCTTACGTGCTGTTGTTATAGCTGTTACTACTTCCGCCCTACTGGTATTGCTGTTGTTACTTCCGTCTCTACTGCTATTGCTGCTGTTATAGCTGTTGTAATTTCTGCCTCTTCAGCTATTGCTGTTGTTACTTCCGTCTCTACTGCTATTAATGCTGATATAGGTGTTGTTACTTCTGCCTCTACAGCTATTGCTGCTGTTATAGGTGTTGTTGCTTCTGCCTCTACTGCTATTGCTGCTGTTATAGCTGTTGTTGCTTCTGCCTCTACTGCTATTGCTGTTGTTATAGCTGTTGCTATTTCTGCCTCTACAGCTATTGCTGTTGTTACAGCTGCCTCTACTACTATTGCTTTTGTTATAGCTGCTGTTGCCTCTGCCTCTACTGCTATTGCTGTTGCATGGCGAAAATTACTTGCATACTCTGGGCTCTGCTATTGTTATTGCTGTTGTTATCTGGTCTCTATTACAGCTATTGCTGTTGTTATTGCTGTTTGTTGCTCCGGCCTCTACTGCTATTGCTGCTGTTATAGCTGTTGTTATTTCTACCTCTGGTTATGCTGTTGTTGTTGTTAATCTGGCTCTCCCTGCTATTGCTGTTGTTATCGCTGGTGCTTTTGCCTCTACTGCTATTGCTGCTGTTATAGCTGCTGTTGTTACTCTGCCTCTACTAACTATTGCTGCTGTTATAGTTGTTGCTGCTTCTGCCCTTACTGCTATTGTTGCTGTTGAGAACTGTTGTTGTTACTTCCGGCCCTATTACAGCCAGAAGCCTGCTATTGTTGTTGTTATCTGTCCCTACTGCTAATGCTTGTTGTTATAGCTGTTTGTTACTTCGGTTCTAATTGAAGACATCTGTCTTTAATGATGACCGTTAGAAAGAAATACGGTTCTATAGCTGGCGACGAGCCGGTCTTCTATCGATGACGAAGAGGGATATTTGTCGACGACTGAAGAAAGAGATCTGTTCTATTAATTTATTGTTTTTGAGCGAAGAGCCGGTTCTAATATTGGCGAAACATTTGTCTTCATATTATTGTTTGTTATTTGTCCTTCTGGTTATCGTTGTTTGATTTGCCTACAGTTATTGGCGAAGAAGAAATGAAAGATGGTTTGAAGAGCATCTGGTTCCATCATGAAAGAAAGACGGTTCTATTATTGTTGTTGTTTGTTTAATTTTGTCTCTACTGTTAATCAAAGAAGAGCATTTGCCTTTACCGTTATTACAGCGACTGAAGAGCTTTATCAGCAGCGAAGAAAGTCGGTTCTAATTGTTATTGAAAGCAGAAAGAGATGAAATGATTGTGATCTATCATTGTTGTTTGTCTTTATTATGATCCGTCTTTACTATTTATTGTTTTGTTTGTTCTATGAAGAAGAAATATTTGTTCTGGTTAATCAAGAAATATTTAATTCTATTGAAGAAGAGCGAGCATCTGGTTTCATCGTTATTGTTATCGTTAAAGAAAGATCCATGCCTTTACTGGCGAAGAGCCACTTTGGTCTTTACTTACTATTATTGTCGTTCTACTGTTAAGAAAGAGGAGAAAGAAAGCTCTGCCTTTATTAAGAAAGAAAGCATTTGTCTTTACTAAGACAAGAAGAAGAAATATTTTACTTCGTTATTGAAAGAAAGAAGCAGCAGCTACGATGTTTCCTTGGTTAATGAAAGAAAGAAAGCATTTGCCTTTATTGTTAAGAAGCATTGTCTCACTGTTATCGTTATTCCGCCTCTACTGTTATTGTTAAGAAAGAGAAGCAGCAGTTATTTCTGGCCTTAATAGCTATTGCCAGCAGCGCCTGCCTCATTGTTTTCGCGAAAGAAGCAGCTATTTACGCTTTGAAAGCATCGGATTGTTATTCAGTCGATATTGTTATTGTTGAAGCATTTGTCCCTTTACTATATCGCGAAAGAAAGAAGAAACATTTTGCCTACTTCGAGCAGCATTTGTCTCTACTGTTATTAAGCAGCAATTTCGTCTTCAGTTGAAAGAAAGAAAGCATTTGTCTACTTACACGTTGATGAAGAGCTATTTTGCCTCTATTAGCTATTACAGCGAGAAGAAAGAGTTTATTCTACTGTTGAAGAAGAAAGAAGAGCTTCGTCTTCATTGTTACAGCGAAAGAGAAGTTGTTATTTCGTCTTTACAGCGAGAAGCGTTCTATTTACTATTGCGGAAAGAAGCAGCGTTCTGTTCTACTGGTTATGAGCAGCAGCGCAGAGAAAGAAATATTTGCCTTTATTAAGAAAGAAAGAAGATTTCATCTTCATTGGCGACAAGAAAGAAAGAGAAAGAAGACATTTCCGGTTTCGCCTGTTATTGCAGCGAGAAGAAAGAAGAGCGGTCTCATAGCTATTACAGCGAAGCATTTTGGTTCTATTGAGCAGCAGCATCGTTGAGAAAGATGGTTTCTACTGTTATTGAAGCAGCGAAAGCATTTCGTCTTTACTACTTATTGAGCAGCGAAAGAGGCGAAAGAGCAGCTTTGCCTTCATTGTTGCCGGAGACCCGAAAGTGAAGCATTTTGCCTTTGAGAAAGAAGCAGCATGAAAGAAGTTATTTGTCCCTACTGGTGCATTAAAGAAAGAAGAGAAGAAAGAAATATTTGCCTTTACTAGAGCAGTGAAGAGTTATTTTGTCTTTATTTCTGCGGACATTGCCAGGAAGAAGCTTTGTCTTGAAGTGAAGAAAGAAAGCAGTGAAAGAGCAGCCGGTTTCTATTGAAGAAAGAAAGAAAGAGGAGCAGCAGCAGCTTTATCTTTACTGGTTATTATGAGCAGCAGAGCCTGTTTCATTACTATTATGAGCGGAGGAAAGAGCAGTTTGCCTTTATTTTCGGTGAGAAAGAAGAGGGAGAAGAAAGGTTTGCCTCGAGAAAGAAAGCATGAAAGAGATGAAAGAAATATTTGTTCTTTGTTAATAAAAGAAATATTTCTGCCTTTACAGTTATTGAAAGCAGAAAGAGAAGAGAAAGAGCTTTTGCTTTACAAGCATGAAAGAAGCATTTGTCGATTAAGAAAGCAGCAGCGATTGCGAAAGAAAGATGGTCTTTATTATATTATGCCAAGAAGAAGAAAGAAAGCATTTGTCTTTACTGGTTAATAAAGAGAAGAAAGAAATATTTATTTCACGCTATTAAGCATTACGAAAGAAAGAGCGGTTTTCATTGCGAGCAGCAGCGAGAAAGGAAAGAGTTTTGTTCTCATTGAGCAGCAGCATGGAGCAGCGAAAGAGCTTTGCATTGTTGAGCATTAAGAAAGAAGAAAGAAAGAGCGGTTTTATGAGCAGAAAGAAGAGATCTGCCTTTACTATTATGGAGAGCGGAGAAAGCTTGCCTTTACTAAAAAGAAAGCAAAGAAAGAGGGCGAAAGAAGATGGTTTATGACAAAGAAGAAAGATTTGCTTTGTTGAAGAAAGCAGCATATAGTGAAAGAAGAGCGAGCCTTACAAGAGAAGAAAGAAGAACATTTGGTTTATGAGCAGCAGTGACAGTGAAAGAAAGATCTATGTTTTGACAGAGAAAGCAGTGAAGAGAAGAAAGAGCCACGGTTTTACTATTAGCAGTGAAGAGAAGAAAGAGTTTGCCTTTATTAAAGAAAGAAAGAAGTGGGAGTGAAAGAAAGTTATTTGGTTTTGAAAGAGAAAGAAAGAAAAGAGAAAGAAAGAAAGATTTGTCTTCAGACAAAGAAGAAGAGAAAGTGAAGAAGTATTTGGTTTTACTTAAAGAAAGAAAGAAGATTGGAAAGCAGAAAGAAAGAGTCTATGTTTTATTAAGAGAAAGAAAAGAGAAGCAGTGAGCCATTTTCTGTTTCATTTACGAGCAGAAGAGAGAAAGAGAGTTTGCCTTTATTGGTGAGAAAAAAGCAGTGGAGAAAGAGTTATTTGCCTTTTGAGAGTGAAAGAAAGAAAAGAGAAAGAAAGAATATTTGTCTTTATTTGTGCATTAAAAAAAGAAAGAAGAGTGAAAGAAAGAAAGTATTTTGCCTTTATTGTTATGAGCAGTGAAAGAGGAAAGAAAGAGTTTTGTTCTTTTTAGTTAAAGAAAGAAAGTGGAGGAAGAAAGAGTTATTTGGTTTTGAAAGAAAGAAAGCAGCAGAGAAAGAAAGAAGTTATTTTGTCTTCATTTCAGACAAGAGAAAGAAAGAGTGAGTTATTTGCCTTTATCAAAAGAGAAAAAAGAAAGAGATGAAAGAAAGATTTTGTTTCTGAGACAGCAGCATATTTTAATGTCTATTAGCGATTGTGAGAAGAAAGAGCATTTCTGTTCTATCAGCATTGTTGTTGTTAGCTGAGAAAGAGCCTGTCTTAATTGTTATTGTTAAGAAACAGCCCCTGGCCTCCTACTCTCAGCAGTGAAAGAGTCCTGTCCCTACGGGAGAAAGCAGCAAAGAAGAAAGAGCCGGTTCTTGTCTTGCCCAGCACATCTGGCCTATCAAGACAGCCGGAAAGAAGCTCTTGCTCCAGAAGAAGAAAGAAAGAAGAAAGAGCTTGTCTCTACTCCAGCAGAAGAAAGAGATGACCTTGACGAAGAAAGAAAGCAGATCTGTTCCTACAAAGAAAGAAAGAGAAGAAAGAAAGAGCCTTTATCAAAGAGAAAGAAGACGACCTGAAAGAAGAAAGAGAGACAAGAAAGAAGACCTGTCCCTAAGAAAGAAAGAGAAGGAAAGAAAGACCTATTGAAAGAAAGACATCTATTCTGATCAGAAAGAGAAGAGACCTTGTTTATGAAGACCACATTTGGCTCTATCTGAGAAGAGAGCCGATCCATTGAGAAAGAGGAAGAAAGAAGAAAGAAAGAAGAGACGACGAGAAGAGGCCGAGCCGAAAGACGAGCCGACGAGAGAAAGAAAGACAGAAAGAGAAAGAGCCGACCCGAGAGGAAAAGAACGAGACAGAAAGAAAGAGAAGGAAAAGAGGAAAGAAGGACAAGGAGGAAAGAGAAAGAGAGAGAGAAAGAAGGAAGAAAGAGCCGACAGAAAGAAAAGGAGAGAAAGAAAGAAACGACCAGAGGAAAGAAGAGGAAGGAAAGGAGAGGAAGGAGACAAACAAAGAAAGAAAGAAAGAGACAAGAAGAAGGAAAGACAAAGAGAAAGAAAGAGACCGAGAAAGAACGAGAAAGAGAAAGAAAGGAAGAGACAGAGAAAGAAAGAGAGGAAAAGAAGACATGAAAGAGACAGACACAAGGAACAAGAAGAAAGAGAGCCGAAGGAAGAGAGAGAGAAAGACAGACAAGAAGGAAGACAACAAAGAAGAGCACAGACAAAGAAAGGAAGAGAAAGAAAGAGGAAGAGAAGAAAGAAAGAGGAGAGAAGAAAAGAAAGGAAAGCTGAAAGAAAAGAAGGAGGAGGCAGAAAGAGAACAGAAAGGAAAGGAAAGAAAAGGAAGAAAGAAAGGAAAGTGAGGAAAGAAAGAAGGAAAGGAAAGAAAGAAGGAGGAAGAAAGAAAGGAAAGAAAGAGAGGAAAGAAAGAAGGAGAAAGAAGGAAAGAAAGGAGGAAAGAAGGAAAGGAAAGGAAAGAAAGAAACAGAAGAAGGACAGAAAGAAAGGAAAAGATGAAAGAGAAGGAAAGAAAGAAAGAAAGGAAAGGAGAGAAAGGAAGGAAGGAGAGAAGGAAAGGAAGAGGAAGGAAGAGGAAGAAAGATGGAGAAGGAAGGAAGGAGGAAGAGAAAGAAGGAAGGAGGAAAGGAAGAAGGAGGAAGAAAAGGAGGAGGAAGGAAAGAAAGGAGAGGAAAGGAAGGAGGAAGAGGAAAGGAAAGGAAAGGAAAGAGGAGGAGAGAAGGAGGAAAGGAGGACAGGAAAGGAAAGAGGAGGAATGGAAAGGAAGGGAGGGAGGAGAAAGAGATGGAGGAAAGGAAAGGAAAGAAAGGAAAGGAGGAAGAAAGAGTGGAGGAAAGAGGAAAGGACAGGAAAGAGTGGAATGGACAGGAG